CCCCAGCTTGTAGTCAAGCTTTCATGCACCTCTGCCATCTTACTAGCCCTTTTCTATGCTAAAAAGCCCTAGATATGTTAAGCTGTGGGTTATGCCCTTGGTAATAGCAAGCCCCAAAATTCAGAGACTGAGAATAATCCAGTGCAGAGCAGGAGGGGAAGCAGAGGCAGCTTCCACCTTCCTGTCCTACCACCTCATGTTTTCGCTAAAAAGGCTTATTTGCTCTTGCTGCAAAAGGATTTTGGAAAGGGAGGAAAGGATTCTGGGTAGCCCACAGCATCGCTCATATAGTGGCCATTCCAGTGTTCCCCCCTCCTTGCTCACAGAAAAGCCCTTTTTTCCATGGAGAGGCAGCTGTGGGGGGGGGGGATCACAGATTCCCCCTCCAGAGTCAGAAGCAGCACTCTGACCTTGGATCCAGGAATGCAAAGCATGCTGGGGCACCTCAGCTGCAGTTCAGGGACTATAATATTGCTCCGTAAATGAAGGAAATCCATTTATTGAATATTGGAAAGGCAGTTATAATGTGAAAGTTAACATCTCTTCATTTTTTACTATTGCTTCATTATTCTTATTATGATGCTGTTGAGTCAAATCAATGTATAATAGTAAAGCCATGCTTTATTATTAGTAACGGCTTAGGGCACAACCTTAAGACAGAAGAAACTCCTACTGCTTCCAGCATTCCACAGGCAGCCACGCTGGCTAGGGCATGCTGAAAACTCTGGGACAATTTTCTATCTAAATATTCATTGGACTGCATCTTTAGTCAGAAAGTATGTACGTGATGCATTAGTGTTTTTCTTTCTTTTTACACCAGCAATTTATAACTTCCAAATTAATTTACAGTTTTAATATTATGGCCATTAGGAAGAAGAATAGCCTAGTATTTATTTTGTGTATATGTAAAGAGTTTACAGTGTAGACGCTTTTAACTTCATTGTATATACTCAATTTCTCCACAGATCTCAGATGGAGTAGATTAAATTGTAACAAAAACAAAAGCCCTGTCATTTATACTGAGATATCCTTATAGTTCTGCTGAACTGTGAGGCCCTAGATTTCTGCATAGACTTCTAGAGCTAATTGCACATCCGATTCTCAGTGTTGTATTTGGGGACTTCAGCAAGGAGAAGGGATGGATTCGCATATACAGTGGTTCGAGGCAAGCTTAGTTTCAGTGAGATTTCTAGAAGTTCTTTGAAAATAGCCAGTGCCAGGATAATAATTGGCCACAATCGCTGCTGCACAGTACAATATGCTTTGTGCATTACGGCACAAAAATATCAGAGAAGAGTAAAGGAGACATCTCTGGTTACATCAGCTTGTGTATATCCTCCACAACCATAACCTTGCGGAAGAGAGGAGGTTGCATTAAAAAAGGAAGTGTTACTAGATGCCCACAAAGCATTAACTTGACCTATATCGATTTTCATGTTATCTCAGATGCTTCAGTTTTCCAAGTCATTGTCACAGCATCTCTGGACTTCCCTTAGATAATATAGTACTAACACCCATGATCTATGCAATAATAATTAATGAAGTGCTTGCGGCTACAGCAGAGTGCATCCTGTGTGTGGATTAACGGTAATAATCCTCCATAAAAGGGTTAGTGCTGCTACCAGGACTCTCTATCCTCAGAGGGGTTTAGGCTTACTTTAGAAGCCCTTTAGAAATCCTGCTCTTCTATCTAATATGGCTACAATGGAGGAAAGTACCAACCCTCTCTTCAAATATAAGTTTTATCCTTTATATCTTGAATATTTTACCAATAGTATAATAATAGTGTTCCACCTTTTTAAAAAAAAGCATGGAGATGGCTGAACTGACAATCCTGTGTTACATACTGCTTATCCTTGCAAGATCTTTTGATATTTTGAACACAACTCAATGTTACAGTAACTCAGACCTACTACCTTTCTCTGTCTCTTTTTTCTTTCTTTCTGGCCAAGTCCATTGCAGTGGTACATATGGATTGGGATAATTTTTTCCTATCCTTGATTGAAATAAAGATTTTGTGGGGAGAGGAACCAGTGGGAGCATGTGCCATAACGTGGCTTATTATGTAAGGTGATTGTACTGCGAATGTTGCTATCCCCAGTGCCTATTGAGGGGAGAGCCAGGAAAAGTGCAGTCCAGTCGCAAAGCTTCACATGTTACACTTTCCTATGCATTGCAGAGAAGAAGGAAGAACTAAACATGATGAGAACAGTTTCATGTTTCTTTGAACAGACAGGTTTTTTAGGATGTCCTCTTTTTCAGAGAGCTCTCCTCCTACATATTTATTATTCATTCAACATCCTGATCAAAACTTGGTTACATCCACATGCTTAGATTTATGCTGATTTTTGTCCTACCTCTAGGAGAACTATATTCACTGAATTCTTGTACTACCTTATATAAGTAGTTATGGATCACAGTGGCAAAACGCACCTGACCACTTAACAGAACTATGAGAAAAATGCAGTGACTGTGTAGCACTGTAGTTATATGAGAATTTACAACACAGACATGTACTGTTCTTAAGTTTTTGTTATTTCTTACATGGCTGCCACTACTGAATGTTGCTTTCCTGATTCTGAAGTGTTGGTTGTGGACCTCACTCACACAGATGCATAGATTGTGTCTGTAAACATCTAATGATGAACATGGCACTAAGAATGCCTTCAAACAGAGGAGTGCTGTGCATGCAGCGGATTTATGCACAGAGCTCTTAGGAATGGGGGACAGGTACTTCTGAGCTGTGCAAATTAGCTCAAACCTTTGTTAAAGTTCAAAAGCATAGGCCTTATTTTTCTAGACTCTTTTCAAAACACACATGCACATATATATATATTTTTAAGAGTAGAATGACCTGGTGAGTATTCCTCACTCCATGCGGGCTGGCATACTAGTTGTTTATATATAAAGAAAGACAAAGACTGGGGAAATTGGTGTTTGTCAACTAAGGAGGTGGAAGTGGCACTTTTAATATATTAGAGCAGGAGATTGGAAGGCAATGAGACTAAGGAAACTCAGCTGAAGATCTTGAGGTGGCAAAAATGTGAAAAAATACAGCAGGTGCAGCTATCATTATTCAAGAGAAGAAAACCCAAAGTGCATCACTTTTTGGCTGGCTGGGGAAAAAATAACATGGTGAGGGCAAGCATGTGCTATCTTCAGGTCCCTAAGTTTTCATTCCATTTCAATAATAGCCTCAAATCCAATTATCAATAATGGATTGCAGCATTTAACCTGTAATATCAAAAGGAAGGACCTCTGGGAGGGTGAAGAGGAGGAAGAGACCACAGGTTGTTATTAGAGACCCTGCTGCCATGGCAGTTTGGTTAAATGGGGCATCTGCTTGGAGTCCAAATAAGTTCAGAAATTGTGCATTCTGCTCACAATTTTCTCAGTAGCCACTTCCCAAGGTTGTATCTTGCCTTCAGGTCAAATTCTACTTTCGGACTTCAGAACTGAAACTCTCATATAAGTTGTAGTCCTCTACTAGGCACTGAAATATCTGGATGGAGCTGGCAGGTTGTGCTGCATTATGGGTGGAATCTTGGCTCTGTCTTCAGTGGGACATTTTACAAAGGGGTGAAGCTGTCTCTCTGGTTACAGATCTGTGTGAAATAAATAAGACAGAAAAGCAGGGGAATTTGGCCCTGGAAGTGGGGGCTAGTTGTCAGAGTAATGTGAAGAATTGTGCTAAGAAAGAGTCATGAGAAAAGATACTGATATTCAAACAAGTCAGACCCTGAGTTATTCTCAATGCTGAGACACCTCCTGAGCTGAGGGATGGTCAAGCAGAAAGAATGAATATCTGCCTGAAATCCAAGTGGTTAATACGGTTCAAAGGAAAGGGAACAAAGAGCTTGGTGGCTCAAAGGCTGGACCCAACTTGGCCCAGAAGGAAGAGAACAATACTGTGAAATGAACACATTCAAGAAGATTCCTTGCCCCTTGATTAACTCACATTTAGCTAGCTAGAGTAGAGGAGCATAGTGCAAGTTTCAAAGCAAAAGGTGCGCTTAGGTAGAGATAATTCATCATTGGACCATTTTTCCTGCCAGTGCTTTTGATTGCTCACTAGTTCTGTTCATTGCAGAATCAAATGGAATCCTTGAACCAAGGTGTCCGGGTAGTGCCAATATAATACATAGTATATGATACACACATCAGCACCTCTGGAGCGCCAGTGTAACTCTGGGCAGCTATGTTGTCTTCTGCCAATGATTCTCATTCCATTTAGCCAAACTGCCCAGACTGGACTTAATTGTTTATACAGTTAATTGAACTTTGCATGTAATGGTGGTACAGTGGGGTAATCTAATAACATGTCAGTAAAATAGGTGGAATTATGGGTTTGGCATGCAGAGACAATAGCAAAGGCTTGTGAGAAAACCATCACCTGGTTTACAGTGTATGTGAGCCTGACACTCCAGATTTATGCTCAGAAGAAATAATCTTGCACCTTTCATCCTAGAGGATGGATAGATTGCTCCTGCTTTCTTGACAATGAAAAGCAAAGTAACCACTTATAAAACTGATATCATCTTTGAAATTTTTCTTCCATATCCCGAAAAGATGTTGAACATGATCCAGCTACAATTAAGCACGTCTGGAGCTCTAGTTCTAAACACTAAGGCACCATTTCCCAACATGGTACCCTCAAAAAGTTGTCAAGTTCCGCTCCCATCAACTCCTTTTCAGGAACCCTGGGAATTCTAAGAACATCTAGAGGTCAGCAAGCTGTGGAAGGCTTCCCTAAAGTAACTAAGTGGCATATCCTTCCAGGGAGAGATCACTGAATTGTGATACGAGACCCATTCTTTTTAGTAGAAGAACATTTTCTACCCTGCTATTGATACCACATTAGTGGGAAATAGTTACAGACAGTTACACTGTGTTCATTATTTCTAACTATCCTAGAAATATTTGCATATACTATAGTTTTTCCCCTAATGGTTTTTTGAAAATGACATGAATACTTTTCTACCACTTTGTTTTTATTTTAGCATACAACTGTTTTACCTTTTATATTAATTGAAATGAGAACGACGCATCATGAATATCCTAGCAGGACCTGCGGACTGGTTGCTGTGTGCATCTTTTCTATTGGCTACATCTTATGGTAAGAACTACATATTTACATTGTGAATGTTCAAAACTTATTTAATTTGTGCCTTTCTACGAAGAAAAATGGCACTCTCGGCAGCTTACTGTTCATTTATTTCATCATTGACATAATCACAAATATATTACTTACTTTGTCTTCAGATGCTTATGTTTTTCAAAAGAACATGCTAAACTTTACACAACAAGGATATATTAGAAACTTCTTTGATGTAGTCTTTCCAAATCTACATTCCTTACATTTTGTTTGTGACTGTGTGAGCTCTGTTTGATCCTGGGACGTTATATACAAGGAATGCATTTCCGTACTTTTTTAAACAAACCAGAATAAGAGTGTGCACTCTGTTTCTCCTACAAGTGCTTGCTTGCTTGTTGATTACAGCAAAGCCAGTGCAGTAAGTTGTTGCCTGCACTTCAGAATCCTAAAGCTGTACCAGGGCTGGGGCCCATGTGGCCAAGAGGAATGCCTTTGCCTTGTGACCTACTGCACTCTTGAAAATTGACCAAAAGCACTGTCTTTGCCATGGGGCACTCCAGTAGGAACTTGGATTCCTTGCATACTTGTGGACAGCACTGTTTTTGTGTCTGCGGACTGACTCTTAGCCTGCAAATGTAAGAAGTGCCATGAATGCTGAGACATGCATATCATCTCTAATGCCAAAGCTATTTCAACTTTCTGTCACCATGTGGAATCCCATGTGCATTTAATTTCAAATAGGGGTATCCTTTCACCTACCTCAACTAGGGGCTGAGACCCCAGTTCTTTTTCCCTCCTAGGCATACTTAGCCCTAAACTGTCTACTTTCAGCGAAATCCTGCAAATGGTAGGGCCTCAACAAAACGGTTCTGGTTTGGCACTCTAAAGTGTGCCTTAATGCATGTTCCCTTGCGCTTATCTAATAATGAGGTTGGACAGGAATTGCATTGTTGAAGGCATTCATTAGAGTTAATAACAAGTAATCTTGTATGGAAGCTTTATGGCTAAGGTTGATCAGCCCATTATTGTGCAGTATTGAGTTAGCATGTATTCAAGGAGGAATGAACTCCTTAACAAAGGCCATCAGGTAATGTTTCCATGGCAGCAGCGCTACTTTCCCTCCTCACATTTGTAATATAGACAATGCAGGAATACTCATAATGCTGCTGCTCTAAAGAGGGGAAGGATAAGAGGAATAATTCTGGGACTTAGTTCTGTGTTTAAATGAGGTCTGGTTGGCCAGTCACAGATAGATCTGAACTCTACCCTGGAAGGGACACTTCATTTAGTTGTTACTTCCCCAGTAAAGTCAGCAGGTGGCTCTCCATGTCATTGTAATCTTTCTCCAGGGTCAGGCATGCAAAACTTAAATGAAAACCATACAGTGGAATTTACGCTGTAAGTGTTGTGTAAGGATCAGCCATTGCCTTTCCTGGCTGAAAGCCCACTTCCAGCTCTGAAGACAAAAGCCCAAGGAGGGAGCAGTGGGGTGGGGGGCAGGATCTGTGGCCAGTCAGCTTGGATGGAATGACATGGATGCAGCCCTGCCCTGCCACCTTCCAGTACCACAAGGCACCTCTTTGAAACTAATTGGTGATCATGTCTTCCCTTTGGCCAGAATACGATACAGTAGGATACGAGGATGCCTTCTACATTAAGAGATCAGTGGCTTAGAGTGACCAGGGAATGTGGTGATGATACAGTTCTGCTATTTTTAATGTCAACATTCTCACATTTTGTTTCAGTCTAGTTGAGTATTGCTAGAACCTTTGAGCCTCGTTAATAAGTTTCACAGCCATGCCTATCAGAAGAAAGTTCTATCGGGCAAACTATATGGAAAGCCATACATTGTCCACATAGTTCAAATCTTGATTCATTATTTCGGCTTCTTCTCTCCCTAGCCTTACTCACCTACGCTTCTCTTTTTAGATGTTCTGGGTGTGCTGCCCTCTTTATGGCTTTGTTTCCAAAGTGCCTGGCATGCTTTTCCAGTTGAAAGTTTGTTTGGCACTCTATTTTTAAAGGCTTCCTGCTCTGTCTTCTCTCTCAGCTATTTGCTTTACAATCTGCTCTGAAGTGGTTTCATGACTGACAAGACCAGCCAGGGAAGACTGCTAAGGGAGTAACTTTGACAGAGGGTCAGGAAGCAAATCCAGCTTCATCCAGCTTCTCCCTAAACTAGAAAAAATGGTTCTTCTCGAGCCCAGTTGTAACACGGCTGTATGCATGTGGCTCTTTGACAGCACTGAGTGCACTTCACAGCAGGATCCCCATTGAAATGTTTTTCTTCTGTTGCCACCCTAAGATTATCTCGTCTCTTGCCGCAAATCTGTCTCTTGCCTGGGGTCTTTTTTTTTCCTGCTGCCAAAGTAAAAGGATGGAGACTATGTGCTCCCAGCATCTTCAGAGAAGGATAATCGGCACCTCACCCTGACATCAACTAACAGGGGTTCAGGAGTAATTTCACTTTCATGAATGATATTCTATCTTATTTCAGCACTATGCCCTTTTCCAAAATGATGGGCCAAACAAAAATTTCAGAGAGAGGGGAGGGGAGGAAGGTGCTTTCATAAATGTTTATTCCAGTTTGTTCTAACCAAAATCTAAAGTGGGTTCTAGTTCATGGTAATGTGTTCCACACAGATGGCAAATTGTGCAATTTAGATGCCAACTTAGAAATCCCATTGTGTTAAGTGGGACTTTTGTTGTTGTTATGTGCTGGCAAGTGCTCTCGGTTTATGGCAACCCTATGAATAGATGCCTTCCATAAGCTCAGGGCTGTGGCTTCCTTTATGGAATGAGTCCATCTCAGAGATGGTCTTCCTCTACTTCTGCCTTCAACTTTCCTTAGCATCATTGTCTTCTGCACTGAATTTTGTCACGGTGTATCCAAAATATGACAGACTCTGTTTGTTTATTATATTTATACCCTGCCTTTTTCTCTTTGAAGGAACTCAAGGTGCCTTACATAATTCTCTTTCAACTTTCAATATTAACCTCAGAACATCCCTGTGAGTTAGGTTGGGTTGTGATTGGCCCATATTCACCTAGTTAGCTCCAAACTTAAGTGTATCCAAAAAAAGGTGACTGGGATAGTGTGGGGCCTGGAAACCAAGACCTATAACAAGTGGTTGAAAATGCTGGATATGTGTAGTTTGGAAAAGAGAAGAGTTAGGAAAGACGTGATTGCAGTCTTCAGCTATCTGAAAGGCTAACATGTGGAAGTCCAAGCAGGGTGGTTCTTTCTTGCACCAAAAGGCAGGACTAGAACCAATAAGTGGAAACTGCAGCAAAGCAGATTTTGGCTAAATGTTAGGAGAAACTTTGTAACAGCAAGAGCTGCTCAACAGTGGAGTGGACTGCTTAGAAGGTGATGGACTACCTTTCACAGAAGGTATTTGGGCAGATGGTGGACAACCATTGGTCGGGGATGCTGAATTTGCATCTTGTATTGCAAATCCTGCATGTATCAGGAGGTTAGACCAGATCACCTCCAAAAACCTTTCCAGCTTGATGATACTGTATGTTTTCATTTTTACTCCAAAGCATGTACAAGTGCTTCCAAATTTGTTCAGGGAGATGGTATAAGGGAGAGGGGTTAATCCTTTTACCTTGTGTCATTTTCTTGGTCTGAATCATCCCAACCTGAAGTTGCTATTAGCTCAGCGGTGGGGAAAAAAACCAGAGGATTTTTTTTCCTTCCTAATAGCAGACAGGATATGATTTATACTGGAGAAATAGTGCACAGAAAAGGGGTTTTAAAAACCACCCTAGTGTTACTGTTCAGATCAATTCAGAGCCCTGGTTTAGAGTAAAAATAAAAACATGAGACAGTCTGACCACCCACCACCACATCAGCTAAAGCTTGGCCCTGAATTTCATAAATCGACTTATTATAGACATATTATATATATGCTTATATATAATATGTCTATAATAAGTCAATTGAAAGACACAATTGACACTGTGGTGTGGTGGCTAGAGTGTTGGACTGTGCCTCAGAAGATCCAGCTCCTTGTCCCTTCTCTGCCATGAAGCTCACTGGATGACTTTGGGCCAGCCACTGTCTCTCAGCCTGACCTACCTTACAGGGTTGTTGCTATGATAAAATGGAGAGAAGACAATGCAATGTAAGCCAAGAGGAAGAAAGTTGGGATAGAAGGGTAATAATAAAAATGAAATATATAACAATTTTAAATGTACCTAATTTTATTGCTGCTTTTAATCTTAAACACAAAATGACTAGAAATCTTAAAATAAGTATATGCATTTGTTTGGATAGACAAGTTTTGTTCTCTGATGGAAGGAGTCTTCCATCACTGCTAAAGGAAGACTCCTACCATTGGAGGAAGGAAACTTCCATCCCCATCTTCTCAGCTGTAAGTGTCCTCAAAGCGCAGCCCAGTGCCCACCCTACTCGGAGTAACCGTCATGGAACTCAGTGATTGAGGCTTAGTTTTAAGTCTACTTGTGTAGCAAGTCTTGGCAAGCTTCTGGTTGTGGGCACCAATGCAGTACCCCCTATATACCTTTCTTGGTTCTTGCTAAGGTGCCCTCCCTTTACCCCCTCTTCCTAATTAGCATATTTTCTTACTGGCAGCTGGATCACTGGCTTTTAAGCAGCTGCCGCTCTCCTCTCCTGAGGATGCATAATGGGGCTCAGAGACCTTTCTAAGAAATGAAGGTGGCAAGTGGTTGTAGACCAGGTCTTCCTTCTGGAGCATGCCCAGCCAGCAAGAAAAAGAAAGGAAAAGAAGAAAGGGGGATGGAAACGCTGGCTTCCAAAGAGCTGTTTGGTGTATCCCAGTTTAGATGACATGGGTGCCTTGTAAAAACTGTCAGGTTACCTCTCCTTAGTAACTAGCTATGCCTCCAGCAACAGCCATTTTGTGACCAGAGTTTCAAAAAGGTTGCCTTTCCGTTAAGGTATAATATTGTGCTGTTGGCAGAAAAATGTTTACATGTAACCATTCTCATGAATGCTTTCTCTCTCTGTCTCTCTCTCTCTTGTCTTTTTTTACATATAAGGGTCTGTTGGATTTATCATGTAACCGGGGTTTGGGTGTACCCTCTCTTGGATTATCTTGGCTCAGGTGCTAAAATTGTCTTCTTCTCCATTGTAACTGTAATAATTAACATCTTCTACTTGCTGGGTGAGATTCTAAACAACTGCATCTGGGACACACACAAATGTAAGTATGGCTTGAGAAACACTTGTGAGAGTATGGAGTAAAGACTGATTCTCATGCTGTTCAGACATGACTTCACCACATCCATCTAAAACCAATTTAGATTTTTCAAATGGTAGAACAAAAACCGTAAAATCAACAGCAACATAAGGCATGACAAGGAACAAAATTCACAGGAATTCTACAGTGAAAAACACAAATTTTACAACAAAGAGACCCAAACTTCATGAGTCATTGAAAAGGCCTGGTGAACAGAAAGTTCTGCTCCTGGCACCAAAAAAGCATAGGGATCATGTCAGGTAAACCTCTCTGGGAAGGCTGTTCCACAACTAAAAAGACCTTCTATCCTATTATTTGTCAAGCTTTTTTGGCGGGAGTACCCAGGGCAAAACTGCTCACTATAGAGCATGCAAATTATCATAACTTGTACTGTAAGTTAGGATAAATAAGTGCACAGGTCCTCAGTCGGTTAAAAACTTCCCACCCAGCTGTTTCTACCCCTTCAATTTCCCTCCCATCCCATGTGAAGGTCAAAAAGAAGAATGGGACTCATTTGGCAACAAGAAATGCGAGTGCTTTTTCCCTTTGAGAGCTCTATTAAATAAAGCACCAACCCTGACAAAACAATTTGCAGTTACTTTTTCCAAGCTAAACCACAAGCATGGTAGGCAAAGAAAAATCTTCCCATTCTACAGGCCAGAGCAACCTCACAGGTCTGGAGACACCAGGTTTTCTGCCAGAGTATTGGATCCTTCAGCAGTAAAAATGCTTCTCCAGAAAACCCAGAGGCTCTTTTATAAAGACAAAACAGCACAGCTTAAAAACCACTGAAAATGTTTCTTCCAGCAGCAGAGGACACAGGAGACCAGAAATTGGCAACAGCACATGATCTGAAGCCAAGATGCCTTTCTGGAGTCTTGCCATTGGTTTGTTTTCTTAAACCTTTGACTGGCTATGCAATTATTTTTAGTTTGTCAGTAATATCCAGTCTGTTGCATTTACACTATTGGTACACTTTCCTTGTTGTATCTTTCAGTAAAATTGCCACTACCAAGTACCTCTGCCATAACGCAAGCAGAAATGGGTACATTTTTCAAAGGGGCCCCTGCTTATTAGAACTATGTGCCAGACAGTTTTTCCATTTAAGAGCTAAAAAGATTTATGGCCAGGTTTCTTTGACAGCTTCCCCCTTTCCAACATTTTTCCTCTCGTCCCTGTCCAGTCCTGCACCCCTATCCCACTGAAAAAAAAAAGCATCAGAAATCTTTCTTTGGGATAGGCAACAGCACTGGAGACCTCCAAAAGAAACACTTTCAGAAAATATCCAAGGTGCTTGGCAGTGAGATTTAATCCAAATAAGCTAAACAGACAAAAGAATAATCTTTTTGCCAGCAGCTAATAATAGAACTTTGCTCAGGAACAAGCATCTGAAAGAACTGAATGTTTCATTGGCTAAAAAAACAATGGGTATGATCCACTTAAGATGAGAATGGAGTGCCTGCATGTGGAAGATCCCAGGCAGTGGGACTGGATGCTAATGAAAATGGTGAGTCTGTGCGAGCCTCCCATCTCCCCTGCTGCCTTCTCTCTGTGTGCCTTGTAAGTTACGTACGCTGTGCCTTCAGTGCCTGGATTACTTAAAAAGATGCGGCAGAACAGTGAAGGAGATTATTGGCAGTAATAGGATCCTTTTCATATATGAGGTAATTCTGCCTGTAGGTTTTCTTATAACGAACATTAATAAAAAGAAAGAGAAGTTTTGGAGTTTTCTCCCCAAATACATTATCAGTTACTATCTCTGGTACCTACAGTGACGTCCAAGTTTATATATGTTTGCTGCCTATAAAATCTGTGCCATGTTTGTCTTCCATTTAGAATATGCCCCTTTGTGGCAAAAATGTTGGGGTTTGGGTGAGGTTTTTTTCTTTCCTTTCTTAATGGCTGGAGGTGAAATAGTTTTAAAGAAATTCCTGTGTGTGTGTATTCGGGTGTAAGAAAATTTCACTTTGCTCGATGGAGCTTATTCCCTAGTAAGAAGCTACATGCACACAACAAGACAAGCAACTCTGCATGGTTACCATGCTTTTTACCATGATCAACCCAACACACAATCACATGGTTTCTGCTTTATAATTCTGCTTCTCTGGGAACCCTCCATGAAAGATGTTAGGAGACAGAGTACCTGGAAGAGAGCCTTCTCTGCGGTGGCGCCCCGACTATGGAATGCGCTCCCCAGAGAGGTCCGCCTGGCGCCGTCACTATATGTTTTTCAGCGCCAGGTCAAGACCTTTTTATTTAATCAACATTTTAATATGTTTTAATATTGAATTTTATTATTGTATTTTATTAATTTGTAGCCAGAGTGGGTCATCAATTTATTTATGCTGTTAGCCATCCAGAGACGTTAGTAATTGGACAGCATACAAATTTTATAAATAAAATAAAAAAAATGGTTTCCATTCTCCCCACTCAGTCCTCCCCTATTCCCAGTACTCTGCCTGAAATCCAGTTTCAGGCTTTCCGATTGTGTTGCCTGCCTCTTCCTCACTGGCCCACACATAGATGCTGGATGGCTGGAGTGGCTCTTGCAGGGGAGGACTTGGGGGTGTTGCATACCAGGGCCATGGTCCTGGGTTCAGACAGCAAAACAGGCTATAGTGGTACAGGAAACCACCTGCTGTTTCCTATCATGGGACTGAAGACCAAATTTACCATGGTGAAATAGTATGACTGGGTTTGGACAACACGACACACCAAAAATGACCAAACCCCCCCCCACCAACAACAACAATGCCATGGCCTGTCATATTGCTCAAACCCAGCCAGAGTGTTTAGATTTGCAGCACTAACATGGTTTGAGAGAGGTTTTGCTTTCCACTGTTCCCACAATAATTATGTCTTTGCTGATCAAATCAGGTTTGCAGGCATTTGAAACAATGCAAAAAACCTCACAAATCTATTAGTTTATGCTAGGTGAAAAATAAAATGAAAATAGTGTACACACAAGAAGTAGTGTTCCCTCTTTCAAAGTAACTTCAGCTCCTGGAAAAGATACTGTTTCTCTCCAGCCTAACTTTCTTCCCATTTGGCCTTTTGCAGTGCTTCATGTTTCTCTTTAGATTGTGGATTTTCATTGGCTTAGGTTATTTATTCTTCGTCGTGGCCTCTGTGCATCACACATATGGCTTCTGCGCCCGCGCAGTGCCTTTGGCCAGAAGATTAACAGCTAATGGTTTTTGGCGGGAACTCCGCTCCCCCTCCCCCCTAGCATTATATAAGGAGCGGAGTGTCCGCCATTTTCCAGTCTTTGCAACCGCCGTTCATTGTGCCTCGTGCCGCTTCGCTCTCGCTAAGATTATTACTTACCTTCTTGCTCGTTGGAAAATCTCTCCTTTTTCCTACCAAGTTTGTATCCCTTGTTCCTGTTGTTAGTACTTCACTTATTTTTCTTCTTAACTTTTGCACCATTTTTTCCTCTTTATCACTCCTATTAAAAAAAAACCCCAAAAATATTACTTTCCCGCTTTACTATCTCCTTTTTTTCTTCTTTCTACGATGGCGCAACAGCCGGCGTTCCGCAAGTGCGGAAAATGTGGCTCCAAAATGCCCGCCGAGGACCCGCATGATCTGTGCCTCCTTTGTTTGGGGGAAGGGCACAGAACCGATAAGTGCGGCCATTGTTTGGCCTTCTCTAAACAGGCGAGGAAGAACAGGGAGAACCGCCTCCGCAAACTCTTGTGGGACCAGGCTCTCCTCCAATCAGACTGGCAGGTGGCTAAGCCTTCCACTGTTGTGGCCCCACCCGAAGGCCATCCAACTTCGGCTGACCTGCCGCAATGCCCGGCCTCTTCCTCCATTGCTCCGCCCTCACGCCCTTCTGAAGAAGGCGCTCATACCATGGCTGACCAGTCTGTTTCTCTGCCAAGGAAACAAAAGGAAAAAAGGAAGCACAGCGACTCAGATAAATATCCTGTGTATAAGAAGGCCAAGAAAGATAAGACGGGCAAAACGGTTAAGAAGCCGAAGAACCCCGAGCAGGCAAAACACCGCCACTCGGGCTCGGCCTCTTCCTCGATTCCGATCCCTGTTTCGGAACCAACCCCCTTGGTCCCAACCATCCAGGCGGCTATGAGGGTTACCCCACCGGGCTCACTGCGCTGACCAACAGCCAAACCCATTCTGGATTCAAGGTGTGGTTCCATCTCAGATGGGGAAATACGAGATTCTCCACCTAGAGCTCGATCACCAACCCCGATGCCTCCGATCCCAATGGATACTGAGATCGCCATCTCCCCTCCGAGAAGCCATAGGAGCCATTCCTCGGATGCGAGGTCTGACGACTGGTACCACTCCAGGTACTCCTCCACTCTGAGACGAGAGGAGTACCACTCCGTAGCCTATTATCTGACCTCCAGGGGACAATCTTCGCCACCAGCGCCTCGGGAACGTCTCCATTCAATGCCCAGAGATGCCCCGAGGGCCCCATCTAAAGAAAGTGGCAGATCAGAGTCACCAGGAGATTCCTCCTCCAGTGTACCACCCCCCTACTGGATGGAATCCGACGAGTCTGAGGCTGACTCGACCTCGCCGGATGCAGAAGTTCTTTTCAGGGCCCGGGGTCACCCGAGGAACCGTATATATCGTTTAATGATCTGATGGCCAGACTAGTGAGATCGCTCAATATAGAAGCCCACCAACAGCTGGGACCGAGCACCGATCGTTTTTATGATGTGGTCAGGGGCGAACGATCCACATCTATTGCCTTGCCGTTTATTACAACCTTACGGCAGGCAATGACCCAGCCATGGGACCTCCCAGCTCACCCACAACCGACTTCTCGTAAATACGAGTCCATGTATCGGGTGCGGGAAGAGGACATCCCATTTCTTCTCCGTCACCCCAAGCTGAATTTGGTTGTTGTAGAATCCTCGCAGGTCGGGAAGCCCGTGGACACACCTTGCCTCGTGACAAAAAGGGCAGAAAGGTTGATTCCCTCGCTCGCCGGGTATACGCAGCTTCAGGCCTTTTTTACGAATTTCTAATTATGAGGCAACCCTGGCACGTTACCAGTATTTCCTTATGCAACGTCTGGACACCATCATCAATACCCTCCCGGGAAACCAGGGCAAACTTGCTAAGACTTTTGTTAAGGAAGCTATGTAAGTGGCAGTGCAACAGCTTTCCACCACGGGGCACCACGTGGACCCTGATTCGAGGTCGCTGGTCGGTGCCATTTCCCTTTGCAGACACGCCTGGTTGCGTAATTGCAATTTTCCGGATGAGATGAAGCGGCAAATTGAGGAGATGCCGTTCGACGGTTCCAGTCTCTTCCATGCGAGGACGGATAGCAAATTGAAGAAAATCCATGAATCAAGGATGACAGCCCATCGTATGGAATTGCAATCTCTACCCTGACGTAAATGGTCATGTCCACAGTACTGTCAACAATTTCCGCCTCGGCAACAGCAACCACATCAACGTCAGCAGCGTCGCAGGCAACAACCACGCCAGTGCTTCCAACAGGGCCGCCGCCGCTTTGATACGGACAGGCGACAGCGCTGATGTGATGAGCGAACCTCTCCTCTCATTCCAACTCTACCCTCCCCCCTCTCATTTGGGGACCGACTGAAGAATTGGCTCTCCATTTGGGAGTCCATCACATCTGATGGGTGGGTGTTTCTATCATTCAGCACAGATATGGAATCGAATTCGACGTTGTGCCATCACCGAATCCTATCCACTATACTCCGACTTCCTTGGTACTGTTAGACGAGATTCACCAACTCCTTGCTAAAGGAGCTATTCGTCGCCTGTCGTTATCGGAGGGATTCCACGGATTCTATTCCAGATACTTTACGGTCCCGAAATGAGATGGGGGTCTCAGACCAATATTGGACTTGAGAGCTCTCAATAGATTCATAACACCAAAGAAGTTTCGGATGACCACACTTCAAAGTATTCTCCCGTTGCTGGGAAGAGGGGATTGGTTCGCCTCATTGGATCTGAAGGATGCCTATTTTCATATTTCAATATATCCAAGTTATAGGCGTTTTCTTCATTTTGCGGTGGACTCTGAAATCTACGAATTCAAGGTGCTACCGTTTGGATTAGCCACTGCACCAAGGGTTTTTACGAAGTGTATGGCTCCTGTCTGTGCACACCTTCGATTACGTGGAATTCAAATATACCCGTACCTTGATGATTGGTTGCTGGTCTCCGACACAGAAGCAGGGCTTTCGTCTGCTATTGAGTTTACATGTGCTCTATTGCACGATCTCGGACTCTGTATTAATCGACAGAAATCTTCCCTTCTCCCTATGCAGGTGATCAACTTTATCGGAGCCCGGCTGGATTAGACGTTGGCAAGAGCCTTCCTTCCTCGGGACAGACGGCATGCGATTGCTCAGTGCATCGCTCGGATTCGACAAGCAAGAACCATTCCCACCCGGTCTATTCAGAGCCTGTTGGCACACATGTCTGCTTCCATCGCTGTGGTTCCGCATGCCAAACTCAGGCTACGTCCCCTTCAATTGTTCTTCAACGGAACATTTCGACCACAGACAGATCCACCTACCAAACGGATTCGACTCCCGGCTTCTGTTCTTCAGTCCCTGTTACGGTGGATAGACCCAGCCAACTGACTGTAGGCGTTCCATTTCAACCGTTGTACCCTACAGTAACCCTCGGCACCGATGCGTCCCTGCTGGGATGGGGAGCCATTTGCTCCGATCTACGTACCCAGGGAATATGGAGTCACTGGGATTGCAGGAACCATATCAATTTTCTGGAACTTCTTGCCATTTTCAAAGCCCTGCAGTCATTCGAGGATGTGCTTCTACACCAGGTCTTCCAGGTGACCTCAGACAACATGGCGATGGTCTTTTATTTGAACAAACAAGGGGGAACCTGATCCCGGAAACTAGCCCACCTGGCCATGCAGATTTGGGACTGGTGCATACCGAGAGGTATCACTCTTCTAGCAGTTCATCTTGCGGGCGTGGAAAATACAGACACGGATCTCTTGAGCAGACATATGTCGCGGTCACATGAATGGGAGCTAGACCATCAGGTTCGCAACACGCTATTTCACCGATGGGGCCAGCCAGACATCGACCTGTTTGCCACACAACAGAACAGGGCATGCACGGCCTATTGTTCCAGAGCGGGGATGGGTCAGGACTCGCTCGGGGACGCTTTCATGATCCCCTGGACAAATATGACTTTTTATGCTTTCCCTCCGATCCCACTCATCATGAGAGTGTTGGCAAAGATATTCACAAAAGGGCCACAGGGCTACTGATCACCCCCTGGTGGCCACGCCAGCCATGGTTTTCAACTCTCCTTCACGTCTCCCGAGAAGAATTTCTCCAACTCCCTCTTCTTCCTTATCTCGTTACCCAGAGGGAGGGCATGATCCGCCACCCAGACTTGCTGTCGCTGAAACTGACTGCATGGAGGATACGATGACCAGCTGCGATGCACTGGTATCGACACCACCAACCGTCCCTGCCATTCTTGCTCAGCAGAGTCTACACCCAGACCTACAGTATATTCTTGAATCTGCGCTACGACCATCTACTAGGAAGTCGTACGCGGCAAAATGGCAGAGATTCTCTAACTTTGCCAATTTACACTCGTTTCCAGCCCCCTCGGTTTCTGTTTCACAGATCCTTCAGTTTCTCTTTGAATTGCATCAGTCTGGACTCAAACCTTCGTCCATAAAAGTTTATACAGCAGCAATTTCACATTACCGGGGAACTATACATGGTCTCTCCATTTTTGCTCAACCTCTGATTAAAAGATTTTTGAGAGGATTGAGTAATCTGCATCCAACTATAAGACCTCTAATGCCCACCTGGAGTCTTTCGATGGT